ATATAATCAAGAAAAGAGTTCTTTGTCAGAAACTAGTTATTTTATCATGATCATGTAAAGTCTTTGAAAATTATTTTCCATTTTGTTACTTAAAAATATTTTTTGAGTGCTTAAAAAGTGCTTATTTTTGGTTGAAAGATTTGACTATGCACCATGTAAGAAATTTTTTATCTACATTCTAAATTGAGTAACATGTTCATTTAGTTTGGTCTTGTTTTGCTCCAAAAGGCTTAATTCATTATAAATTTTGCAGTTTATTAGAAGAAAGTGGGTTAGAGAAACGGATGTTTGAAAGCGTTGCCACTAGTTTTCATCATAATTTCAATAAGCAAGATCATTATAGAGTTGGATCAGCTTTGGTAAGTTGTATATAGTTGATTGATTTAATTTTTTTTTGTTGCATTGTCAGCAAAATGAAGAGATAAATTTCCTTTTTTAGCTTCAGATTTATTCATCAGTTGCTAAAATGAATTTTTTTCCACTTGAGGAGTATACCTTCCAAATTTTATTGACGTTTGCAATTATCTCCAGTTTGATATTTTGTTTGGCCTACTACGAGGCCTGAATTTACCCTTGGTGTTAATAATGGATTTTTTAAGCTCTAAATTATATATTTTATTTTTTAAACCACTTTCTCCTGCAATATTATTTTAAAGGATGATTTTTTATTGTTTATCAGATTTTTATTTTTATCATTTATCGGTTTTTCAATTTTTTTTCATAATATTATTATTTAAACTTTTATTTTATTTTTAACTTTATGCAATTTTTGCTTTATTTATATTTTCTTATCTTTGAAAAGAAAATCAAAATTTTCTATCACCAACTTTCCAAAATGAATAAAATTTATTCAAATACTATCAATTTGCTAGTACTCTGGGGTACTAGCATATTACCACCAAGACCTATTATTGCAGTACCTATTACTACATTTTACCAAGTACTGCTAATGGCAATAATAATTTGAACATTTTTAACTTTTTCTCTCTCCCCCTAACAACAAAAAACTACCAGAATGGAATTAGTTGTAAGAAACTTTGACTTTTCAATTTGATGGCTCATTAAACACTTATTCAATTGCTAATTTTAATTAAGTTTATAAGTTTTGTGAATCAAACTATATATTTATTTCATTAGCTTTATTTTTATGTAATGGTTTAATATTATTTTATTAAAACCTATTGTTGCTATTTATAATATTCCTTTTTCTAAGATAATTTCAACATTTTTCAAATGCTTACTGACCTATTCTTTTATTTGAAATAAATCAATTTGTAATAATCAATAATTAAAAATCAATAATTAAGAATAATAATTAAAAATCAATAAATTCAATCTAAGTCAATAATTAAAAACTCGTTGAAAATTATTGTTATAGTATTAGATTCGGTTGATTTTATCAACTTATGTGTCAATTCTTTGCTTTTAAACACTTGAATTTTTAGAAAACAAAAAATAAGTAAATTAAATTAATTTATGTGTACAGAAACATTGCTGTTGTTACAGCAAATATGATATTTTTACTTTAATGAGTACCTAGCTTGTAATGTAAAGATTCTTTAGGTAGCTTGCAAATTACTTAGGTAGGTAATTTGCAAAATAAACAATCTTTTGGCACATTAAAGAATCATTCTAGTTAATCTTCTCATCATCTAGATAATCTGTAAATTAATTGATGTCAATGTCAGATTCTGATTGACACAGGTTATGGCAACCAATAATTTACATAATTTTATCAAATATTTTAATATCGCCATCATTTGAGAAATACATATGGAGTACAATAATATCGTGATTCTTATTATTTTATTTATTTATAATTTTTTTAATGACGTCAGGCACTGAACTTTCGTTCTTTTTCTTTAAAAAACCCCGCATGTGTTGCTAATTTATTGTTAACTGGTGGGCATCTGTGTACCAAAGTCACAGAGGAGAGCAGCGTAACCCACGCCACACTGCCACAGAAACCCATTCATAGGGTGGGCTAGATTCTCATATCATGCAACAGACAGAGAAATATCCATGCCCCAGAGGGGGATTCGAACCCAAAGCCTTTGGCTTTCGCAGGCAGGCACGCTAACCACTCTGGCCAACTGTGATTCTTATTGATAACTATAATTCTGAATTCTCCTATATGATATTGCAAATGTGTTTCATGATGATAATTATTGAATACGATGTTAATGTTGATAATTTGGTTTTCGGGTAACGAAAATATTGACCAATGTAAAAATAATATAAATCAGTCAAATTGGTAATCTATTACAATATGCTCTTAAATGTCGATAATCTTTTACAATACATCTCAATATTAAAACCCATATTTATCTGATATAAGAGTCAAATGTCTATGTTGGCGACAGCTCAAAAAAGTAGTCGCTAATACATGCCTGAAATCAATATTTACGGACTCGAGGGTTGCCATATTTGACCAAAAATTTCCAGAAATTTTACTACACATGATTGCATTTTAATCTATCTATCTATATCTATTTCGTTTTTATAGTTTATAAGCAGTTATCTATGAAGACACTTTCTGTTTTATATGTTTGTCACTTTCTGTTTCACATGCTCAAAGATTAATGTTTATTGATTTTTTGAGTTTCTGTAATTTTTTCATATGTTTTGAAATAATTCATTTAACCTTCTTTGTTTAATTCTTTTTAGGTATTATTGCTACAAAATGAAGATCTCCTTCCTACCAAGGAGCAGAGGTTAATTTCCGTTTTCCTTCTTTACGAGATGTATCGTACTGAGCCAATACAAGCCAATCCATTTGCCTCTGTATTCATTCATTTATTGGTATTACATATTTTTCTTGCTTGTGTTCTTCTTTTTTATTATTTTATTTAATTGCTATGAAACATAACACTGTTTTTTAAAAAATATACTTCTTTGAATCTGTTAGTTCTAGTTGATTATAGTATTGCTACTGGTGCTGAAAATAAAAATAGCATTTAAAAAATATATGTGGTGTAAGAATGTAACAGTTAGGCGAATTGCATTATCTACTTCCTCGTTGATAGGTGCCAGCCAGGCCAGAAGGGAAAGCCCTCGGTTTCTGCAGTGCCATAGAGTCCAGACGAGAAAAGTCCCAAATAAATTAATAACTCTTACTCTTTTCCATAGAACAATCTAATTCAGCATTCATTCTTGATCCGGCAACACTGCATGTAGGCAGCTTTCACCAGTCATGATATTGCTGTTAAACTTATTTCCTTTTTTTAAAAAAATTTATTAAATGTTAATTTTCATTATTAAACTATTCTCTTTTTTTCCCCTCTTGCTCCACAAACTCTAAAAATATATGTATATTGAAATTTAAACCTCAAATGTCTTTAAATCTTGGAAAAATCCTAAAAATCATTAGTTTTTTTTATTTCTAAACAACAAATGTATTTTTTTATATATGTGCAGTTGAAGATCTCAATAGCTAAAACCTTTAAACACAAGGCTTTGTATTACTTAGAATATTGTGTCACTTATCATTAAACTTAACTACTAAACATGGCTACATATATCTGATGCAGATTAATATTCTAGTCAATATTTTAACAAAAAAACTTTAAAGTGCAGAAAATATGCACTTAGATATTTATTATTTCCAAAAAAAAAAATCAACAGATTTAGATATAAAATCTAACAAATTTATCAATTTCTGTTTGCTTTAGAGAATATGAAGTTAGCGCAGCTTATAGAGAATTGCTGTTCATAGGATTGCGTTATATAAATATCTTCTACTGTAGTAGGACACTTGATTATCTGAAGTATTTGAATCTATTTTGGATACGGGAAATATTTTGATTATAGAATTACTCATGAATAATTTTTTTAATTTTACGCTTTCTTTTAAAAACAAACAGATAAAAAACAGTGCAATATACTATTCAGTATTAATACAACCATTATTATAAGTGGCTTTTTGTGAAATATGGAAATTGATATTTTGTTTTTACATTTGCTTGTACTATTTTCTATATAGTAGACTCTTTTGTTTTGTATTTTAATAATCCATTTATAAAAAGCAGCAATTCTGTTTTTTTTAGCTCATTTTATTAATTTTTTTAAAAGTTGTTTTGATTAAATTATATTCCTTTGTAGGGCTTTTGCTCGATTGCATTTGTTTTGGAATTTTATATTTTTCCTATATAATAATTTTCTTATATAACATCACATTATCCACTAACATTTGAGTTTCGTGAGAAATTTATTTATCAATAGTAGCAAACTAAAACCTGAATTTTTAAAACAAATGATTTGTATACAACCTTTTTCATTGCTTTTGAATTTGCAAATCCTTATTTGACCTTTAATGATCTCTTTAACCCTTTCAAGACCATGCTTACATATACATGTTCACGACCCATGGTATCATATGCAGGGTTGATTGTGTCTGATAGTTTCTGGTAGTTGGTGATCTGGAAGTTTCCAGAGATCGAAGGTCCAGACGTTTCAAAAAATCATTGATCACAGAAGTTTCCGGAAATCAAATTTTCAAAGGTGGAACTTAAAAACACAGTTTATTTTATTTGTTTGTAAGGGAGAGCCAGAGAGATACTTTATAAGCTTATATTCATGATTAATATTCATTTTTTATCAGTAAATAGTTCTTATAATCATAAACTCAAGAAAGAAAGACATATTTGTAAATTTCAACTACTTCTTCAGGTCATCGTAGGTATGTGTAAATGGTATAGGTATGTGTAAAATTTTAAATATATTTTAAGTAGACTAAAAAATATTGAGAAAAGGGGAAAAAAAACTTTTTAAAATTTTTTTCAATTTAAACCGTTTTTTTTTTAACTCAAGAAATTTTCCGGAATTTTGACTTGGACTCACAATCACCCCTGCATATGTAGAATTTTAATTAAACAATTTAATTAAACATTATCTTACAAAAAATTTTAAGATATTGTTTATTTAAAAATTCAAGTTAAAGAAAATGTTTTTATCAATAAATGTGTCATTAAATCTTGTTTATATTTATTTTAGGCAGTGCAATTATGTAACATTTTGTGTTGTAGCCCAATAAAATTTGCATTTGACTGTTAAAATAAAATGAAATATTTTTATTTTATTTATTAATATTTGTGAGAAAGAAGGTTCAAATTATTTTGCTAATTAACTTATTTTAAATACGTTCTGATGTGCTTCTATTTGTTCTTTTTGTTTTAAAAGTTTACATTCATTACAAAAGTTATTTATGACCCCCGTGGCAGAATCCTGGTGACATAACAACATTGTCACAGAATATTACAGAGAAAGAATTTTCTTTTAGAAACTAAAAAATTTTGGTTTTTCAGAAGTAGTAAAGAATTTTGGTTTTCTGGCGAAATTTTTTATCTCTAAAATTATAATTAAAAGATGCCTTTTTCGCACATAGGAGGGGAAAGAAATGTTCGTGATTTTTCTATTCTTATTTGAGAAGAATGAAAAATATAGAATAATGAAGTAAAACATTTCTTTTCTGCAGAAATGTTGAAAGATTTTCCCCCCATGAGAAATCATTCTTTGACGAGCTCATCTTGCGCTGATATTCTCGTTAATCTACGAGGTATTTCAATCGTTAAGATAGTGATTGCTACAAATTTTTGCTTTGTTTTTTTTCAAAATCCCGATGTCTTTTATTGCTCAGTTATTATTTATATTCTCGTGAATTTTTAAAGTATGCCGATATTATTACAGCACGAGAAATTCGAATCTCGAATTAAAGAAATCTTTCTTTGACGCGCTTGTTTTGCGCCAATATTCTCGTTAATCCACGTGGTATATTTTTTTCGCGCAATTTCGACGTCAGTCTTTTTTCCGTAGTCACTGCTACGGATTACACAAATTTTTTTTTTTTTTAATATGATGATAATTTACGAAATGCGAAAAAGGAAATAATTTATGTGTTTTCTTGTTTAGTAAAGTGTGAGAATCTAGCCCATGATATTAGAATTAAAAAAAAATATTACATACACATTTAAAAATTAAATAAAATTTTTTTTTATTCTAATGGGTTTTCTTTTGTAAATGCAACGTTTTTGTTTTTTTAAATTTAGTTAGTAACATGTATATTTGTTATTATTAAAAGCATCTTGCAGGAAGATATTAGTGCTAAAGAGGTTTGTCGCAGAAAGCCCAAAAAAATTGTGCCACAGGGTTTATGGTGTATGACTAAATCTAATGAAATATTTTAAACCTGTTAATAGGGATAAATAAAAGTTTTACAAAATGCAAGTTGAAGTTTTATCAATAAATGTGTCATTAAATCATTGTTTTAATTGTACTGCTTATTTATTTGAAGGAGTGTAATCAGGTAACATTTTGTGTTGTAGCCTGATAAATTTGCAATTGATTTTAAATCAAATATTTTTATTTTATTTATTTATATTGAGAATGAAGGCTCAAATCATTTTAAGATATAAGTTATTTTAAGGTATAGATTCATTTGCTAATTAACTTATTTTACATATTCTGATGTGTTTTTATTTATTTATAAATTTTTTTTGTTCTGAACATGTATGGGTTATAGATTTTTCTCTTATTGTAGCACCCTCCTGAAGATGTCAAATCTAAAACCTCCGGAGAGTCTAGTAAGAAACCTTGGGCTCTGCCGAAGCTGGAAAGTTCAGAAAAGTATTTTCTCTCTCAACTGATATCTATGCCTACAAAAGATGTAAGATGATCCACTAAAATAATCAATTTAAAATTGAACATTGAACTAGCTAATTTTTAAACTAGTTATTTTCCTAACATACATTGTTGTGTTAGGAAAATAACAAACATTAAACCAATTATTTTTCTAATTTTTTTACATATATATTGGATGGGGGCTTGGACATTGTGACGACAACTCGTGGGGTCAGCAGAGGGGAGGATAAGGATTGATAGATTTATGAAGAATTAGAATGCAAAAAGCCTTATCGTTCAATTTGTTTTTGTAGATTAACATTTCTTTCAATTTGTTTTTGTGTGATATCAGTTTCATTGAGGAATGAAAAACTTGTTTGCACACAGACTGAACTAGTTATGTTCCTAATTTTTTTTAGCACATTTTGGACAGAAATATTCTGATTTTTTTTCTTTATGTTTGTTTACACACATTGCTTAAATCAAGACTTACATTACCTTAATGTTTACACACATTACCTAATCAAGTACTTGATTTCATCACTTAGTTGACCGGCAATTTTACATAGAAACTATGTCTTCTCACCGGCCATTATTTTGTAATTGAATATGGAAGTAAATTAAAACATTCTAATTAATTTCACCCTCAAATGTTGTTGGCTGATAACGATTTAACTCAACATTGCTAGTGCAATGATGAGTTCACTTGGCATCGGTCTGCAACGTTAATTTAACGTTAATAAGTCTGCAGGAAAAGACGAGTTAATTTGTCAGCAATGTGTTAACATTGGATCAAGTAACATTGGACTACTAACATTTCTCTATTTTGTACATATTTTAGGTATTGTTAAGTAATTTTGTCTATGCTTGTTTGCACATGTTACCTAGATTTCAGTACACCCTTTAAAATATTAAAATTTATGTTGTTTTTGATTATATATTTTTCGTTTAGATATATTTTTTAAATAAATTAATCCAACATTATAGTTTGGATTTTTATTTAGTTATAAGGCAATATAAACAAAAAAGAGCTTGATAAAATTATAGAGAAATGAAATGTTTCCATTTTAATTACTGAAAACCAAACTAATAATTGAACTGTAATCTTGATATCGTTGTATTTTGTTATGATGACAGCCAACGTCACCTTCCGTCATTACTACGAATCAATGACGGCAGCCTGTAGCTGCTGAACAGCGGCGCTGCCTTATCTTTCCATCGAGTATATAAACATGTTACTAATAGATGTTCATTCGCTGATCTTTGTTACTTGCTGCTAGCATGTTAGTTGTTATGTTTTGTTGGTTTATAAATATATATTTTAAGTTATCATGTTTCTTAATTGGAATACAACTCCAAGGATACTCACAGTTCAACAATTTAAACATTTTATCTTTGAAAAGATCACAGTTTTTAAATGAAGAGTAAATAAAACATTTTCTGCCTTAATATAATTATTCTTAATTATGTATACGTTCCTATTTATTTCTTAGCATCTATTCATAAGTTTGTAAATATATATGATTTAAATGTTTTAAATATATTTTCTAAAACTTTGCTTTCATTATAGTTTTGTTTGTTACTTTCATGCAAGTTTTCTTCTTTTTTCATGGTTTCAACCTGTTTTTTATGTTGCTTTTTACAAAAGGCACAACCCTTATACAAGCATATTTTTTTTCAATTTTTCTGTAGACCATTAATGTTTCAGCTTTTTCAGAGAAAATATTAGTTAACACAATTAGTTTGATTTGCGATTACATTTTACATATATTTTACTTTTTCATTCTAAAAGCAGTTGGTAGATTTTGCATCTGGGCTACCCATTTAATTTACAAGAACTTGGCTGTTTCTTTTACATTATTACTACTGTGATGTATTCTGAATATAAAAAGCTTTTATGTCATTTATTTTGAAGTTAAATGTAATAGAGACTTCGCATTTTGTGTTTTTAAAATGAAACTGGATGTGATAAATTAGTTTATTTATTTTTTTAAATTTTTTTATAGCTTTTTAAAAAAACTCCTCAACAAATTATTCAGATGGATGTTTCTGACATGCAGGTATGTTATCATTTTACACATTTAATTTTTCTAAAAGTATTTTTTTTTCCTTTTAATTTCTGACATATAATATTTTTCTTTACTTAAAAATTTTGTCACATTTGTAAATTAAAAAATACGAGTTCACTAGAAATATGTCTCAATCCCATATCTTTACATTTTACTGTACCTTTTTTTATAATTTAAAATGAAGTTTTGTTGCATTGTTAAAAATAATGCTATTTATAATCTTTCAAATTACAAAAAGTGTACACTGTTATCTCAATTAGAATTTGAAATAAAACATAGTTTTGTTTTCCCATGTTTAAAACTTCAACTTGTTCAAGTTAAAAATATAAATAAAGCATGAAAAATAATATGATAAGCATTAATTAAAAGAGAAGAAACACTATTAAAATAAAATATTAAAAAAATTATTGAAAGGCTGGTAAACAAAATAATAAAAAGATATAATCTCTCTATTAGCTCACACAATTATATCTGCAAAAAGGATTGCTTTCTAATATTGTATTAATATNATAGTTTTGTTTTCCCATGTTTAAAACTTCAACTTGTTCAAGTTAAAAATATAAATAAAGCATGAAAAATAATATGATAAGCATTAATTAAAAGAGAAGAAACATTATTAAAATAAAATATTAAAAAAATTATTGAAAGGCTGGAAAACAAAATAATAAAAAGATATAATCTCTCTACCAGCTCACACAATTATATCTGCAAAAAGGATTGCTTTCTAATATTGTATTAATATAGCCAAAGCAAAATATATCAATGCAATAGTGTGAGGAGCTCTCAAAAAATTGAAACTGAAATAATAGAACACATTGAGTAAAATATATATGAGATAAAGCATATCAAACAAAAAAAAAAACAGAGAAAAAAAATTCTATATTTATATACATAGAATATAAAGTATCTTGTTCTGCTTTATGTGAAATATTTATTGGCGGAATAACATTTTAATTTTTTTTTCTTCAGTCATTTGATGTAAGTGGGCTGCAGGTTGCTCTTGCAGAGAGACATTCAGAAATGTCTCAGACTAGCAAATGTGGAATTCCTGTAGTTCTATCACATCCTGATGATAAACCAATGTATGTATCAAATATTATTTTCATTTATCTACATCCTTCATTTTTTATGTATCTACCTACCTGATTACAGTCGAACCTGCCTATCTCGAATCTCGCGGGAAAGGGAAAAAAATTTGAGATAGAGAGGTTTCGAGATATACAGGTAAGTTTAAAAAATGAAATTCGAGCAGCAATGTTTAATTAAAAGAAACTTTAAATCATTTATGTTGTAAAGAATTTAATTATNCACATGAAACGTATAGTTCAAATTTTAAAGCTTTCTTGAATGTTTGAAATAAATCACTCAAAGCTTTGTGCAAACTAAACTTTTAACTTTTTTTTTCTTTTACCTTACCTTTACTCCTTTTTTGTTGAAGGATGTTCATAATAAGTTTGATCTATTGATTTGTAATTCAAATGTGTAAAATATTTTTGTGAGTAAATAGTTTTCTACAACTATTGATGATAATACTTGTTATTGCTGTAAAGTTTGCGCAAGATGATATCCATTTTAATTGGATAAAATATTCGTTCCCCCCCCCCAAAAAAAATCCTTTAAGTAAAAGATTAGTTTTTCTCGTTTTTTCTTTTTTTCCAATGTGGATCTGTTTATGTGAAATATCTCCACCCACTCAGAATTAGCTCTCTTGCAGTCAAATTATTCCCTTTCATCACATAATGAGAAACTTCTGAAAACACGTGCAATTTTTATTTGCATGAATTATTTTCGATGAATAAACACATTTTTATCTAAATAATCTGTATTTGGATTTTCATTTATATAACTTTAATTTTTTCTAACTTTTGATTTTCTGTTGCTTTTACTTTTCATTAATTGTATATTTTATGTTTTAATTCGCTTTCAAAAACTTTTTCATGTTATGTTTAATCAGCTTGGGTGAAGAATGGTTTATGTCTGTGCAAACTGATTCTAAAAAATAAAAAAAAAATGCTTTTACGCGTAGGCTAACAGGAATTGTTTTTCTTCATCATGGCCTATTGTTGCTGTATAATAACTCTTACAGATTACCAGTTTCTTACCTTATTGATTTGTCAAACCTTGGTAATCCTCAAAATTCAACAGATGACATTCCCGTTGTCATTTTTGGGATAAATGGACATAAATCATTCTTCCCACTTTTAGTTTTAATTCCTCATGTTGAAAAGACGGCGGTCAAAAATTCCCGACGGAAAATGAATTTTTCGAATCCGACGTCCGCTCGGACGGCCATTTTTCCTTTAATGTTCTTGATACATTTTAAATTTTTATTATCTTTCAAGAGTCTAGCGCCTCACTTCTAAAATGACCCTCTAATCTGTAAATGCAGCAGCATACTGCACATGGTGGAATTGATGTTTTCTCTGTCTGGGAGTACTGCAGTGGTTTTAAGGGGCTTTTCAGCAATGAACTTACAAAAAAACACGTTACGTACTGGTCTTAAACAAGAAGCGTTAAACGCAATTATGAACATCTACCTAAATGGAAAACCCCTTTCAGATTTTTGTGCCGAAACTTCTGTAAATCATTGGCTTGATTGTGGAATAGGCAAAGGTCATATTTGATTCATTTAAAAAACGCAGTACCCTCGGATAAATTTACCTTTGTCATTTAAATTATTTCATAAAAGAAATGCTAGGTTACTATTAGTAACCTAGTATTTCTTTTATTACTGTATATTGTAATTCTAGTATTTGTAATCCTAGTACTTAAAAAGTACTTAAAAGGTGCTTATTTTTTGTTGAAAAATATGGCTATGAGAAGAGTATAAAGAAATAAAAGTATATTTACATACTTTTATTATACTATACATAAACATATAAACATACTTTTATTACACTATGCATAATAAATAATATATAGTATACTGAAAGTATATTTATAAAAGTCTAATAAAAAGTCGTAAATTATTTTCAATTTCAATTATTTGCAATTTAATAATTCACAAAAATTTTACTCTTCACGATTTTGTCTTTTTTCTCCATCATACATTTATTCATATTTGTAAAAATAATTTAACACTTAATAAAAACATAAGATTTGTCCTTCATTAATTTTTGTAATTCATTAATTTTCATTCATTAATTTGTACTTAAATCTTCATTAATTACATGATCAATTCTATCCAGTATATTTGTTAAAAAAGTTTTTAAAATCTAGTAAAAAAATAGATCTTAAGGGATTTATTTTTGGTAATAAGCTAACTGAGTTCCATTTTATGAACTGATCTCAACCCCAAAAATATTTTAATGTAGCATTGCTGAAGAAAAGTGGAATCTTGGAAATTTTGCATATTTTTAGGTTCGGAGAAAAGCTATTATACAATTTGATATTAAAAAACCGACTACAAACTATTTTTACTTACTTCACAATCTTGCTAACACAGTCATTTGTCGTGCCAACATCTGTTAAAAACTATTTCCGTGTTAAGAAGAAATTTCTGTTGTGTTAATATATATTTTTTTTTATTGTTATTCTGAAAACCCAGAGAGTGAGACCTAAATTATTTTATCTTTGTGTCCTCTAGTAATATCTGAAAATACCAATTTAAAGTTAGATTTTATGTAAAATCTAAATGGTTTTTTTTCCTTATTGTGATTACTTAGAGAGAACATTGATTCAGCCGCCTTGAAGAGTGCTCGAGAGGGACTCCTGTGTGGCAGTGATGCTCCCGTTCAATCTTGTTACAAACCAGAATGCATACGATTAGCTCCTCCTCTTCATGCATTTGATGATGAAGTACTATTCATTATTAANCCAAGCTTCATCTATCAAAAGGTACCTCAAGATAGAATCAGGCTACCATGTCTTATGTACTAGTGATTCGGTATTTAATATTTATAGTGGTAGTTACGCCACATTACTCGCCTTCCAGAATTTTATCTGTGATAAAATTCGATGAACGAATACCACTAGTTGATTTATGCTGTTTTTTCCTTTCTTTATTTTTATATCATATTTGCTCATTATATTTTTTTCCCTTCATTTTTTTTGTTTATAGCATTTCGCTCATTATTATTATTTTCTTTTTTTTTGTTTATAGCAAATCTCGCATTATTTTTTTTCTTCATTATTGTTAATTGACCGGGAGACTATATTTACTTCACCGGTTTTTTTTGTAATTTTCTTTTTTTCTCATGGTCGAAATCAGTAAAAGTTTCTACTACTATAACAAAAATGTAAATGAAAATGATAAATATTAATGCAAGGATCAGAACCCGTGAGAAGAAATTTAAAATAATCATAATAATTTCATCACTGGAATATAGAAATTCAAACAAATCAAGTCATGAAAATGAATAAGTAAATTTAAATCTAAAATCTCTCCCATATATTTTATAAAATAAATGAACTCAATATTTCACAGATAAAATTGTTGCTACAATTTAATTTTTGAATTCAAATCTGTTTCTACTTAATAGAGATATTTTTTAATAAAAAATAAATGGTAACCAAAATTTATTCAGAATTAACTATTTTTTTATTATATTACTTTATGGGAGTATAATCATTTCATATTATGTATTAGTGTTTAAGCTAAAGTTTTGTTAAAATTATCCTATGTTTTTTGTTTATTTTTAAATTCTTCTAATCTTTAAAAGTCGTTTCTTACTATATAAAGATAAACTGATTCTGGGCCCCAGAAAATTGCACTAGAGGCAGCCCGTGCTGCTTCGTTAACCAGCTCATTACTGGGAATACCCATTAAGGTCTGGTTTCTTAGGACAAGCGCCTTATCTGGGCGTCAGCGGGACGTCAACGTCCCACTGACGCCAACAAAATACTGGTTTGTTAGCTCAAGGCCTGGTTTCTTAAAACTGGCGCCTTATCTAGGCGTCAGCGGAAAGTTAACGTAGAGCTGACGCCAAAAAAATACTTTTTTGTTAGCTCAGAGTGAGCAGTCGGTCCAACGCAGACATTATCTCTCATTGCGCATGCGTTAATAACGCAAACAAATATTTATTTTGAATTTTTATTGATTTTGTTATTGTCGACCAGTGTTTTAGATAACAAATAATGACTTTGTCCAAGAAAAAACATATTATAGCTGAGCTAAATGAAGAGTGCTATGTTTAATGAAGAAGCTATGTTTAATGCAGGGTTTCCACGGTCCTTAAAAGTTCTTAAAAACTGTTTAACTTTTATTTTGGAAAATAAGGGCCCTTAAAAGTACTTAGTTTACGAACAAGGTTCTTAAATGTGCTTAATTTTTCTGCATCTCTATAGTTGCTATTCTCTATAATCTCTATAATTTTTCTCTATAATTTTTCTGCATCTCTATAGAACAATTTTTCAGTTCAATGTTTTAAAACAAAAAGTCGTTCTTTTATCACCTAGAATTAGATCATGCGTGGAGGGTAAAGCATTTTAGTGAGACAAGAAGGGATGTGTGTGACATGGCTACAGGAAAGGAGAATAAAGCATGTCTTTTTATTAATATATTTGTTCTTTCATTAATCTATTCTGCCTTTTGCCTGTAATGATACTCTATGAGAAGAGTGACATTCTAAAAGAAAAGTATAGAGTGTGGACATGGGAAATATTGCAGATGGCAGAGATTGTGCTTTTTTTTTGGGGGGGGGGGGCAGTTCTAAGGTACTTAAGTAGGAGACCCACACTGACCTTTGACCTTCAAAATTGACAGAATTCAAGAAATTCAATTCCACTAGCAATGCATCTGCTAATAGGAAGAAAGTAATACCCTAAGAAAAGAAGTATGAGAAAAACTTTTGAACTAGAATCTGTAACGAACATTATTTTCAAAAATCTTGGAAGAATTAAATAAATTTGTATAATATTTCAGTGTGTAATAAGTAACTGTAAATTTTTAATAAGCAGCAACATTTTTCAAAATTCATGATTGTACTAAAATTAGACAGATATGTAATAAACAGGGTTTGAAAGATCCCATCCCACCTAGGCTTTATATCAAAAACCTGAGATTTATTTAGTTTCTGAAGAAAAACCAAGTTTTTCAAAAATATTTTAATTTTTTTATTTCTGAGTACTAAATAATGCATGATTTGCTCCTAACAAGAAAGTTAAATGTTAAGTAACTATTTATAACCATTTTTCTCAGTCAACATTGCAACTTAATATACTGTTTCTTTTTTTCTTTTTTATATTTTTTTAAAAGTTTCTATTCAATTTTTGGTTGTCTTAAAATTAATAAATGTTTTTCGTCAGATTGTTTAGTAATATTAAAGTTAATTCCTAATATCAGTTTTGACTGTAAATAATTGTAAAACTCATCTTAAAAGTAAATGTAACACATTTGCTGTTGAGGAATAATTTCAAAATGGTTAAGTTGCATATTACTTTCAATATATTTTTTGTAAAATTCTTCAATAGATTTTTCAAAACTTTTAATTCACCATAAAAATAAAATATCAAATCATAATATCAGAGAATAATATTAAGAATTATACAGGATGGTAAAAAAATATTACAAGTAAATGTCTATAAATTATGAAAAAATAATTTATAAATATTTGCTAATTAAGTAACCTTACCAATTTTCTAGCCATAGTAATGCGTTGATACTTTTTAAAAATCATTTTGGACCCTATTATTAATATGTTTCACCGAGAACTGTTAAAAAACATATTTAGAACATTATAGTTTGAAAATTATAAATCTTAAACATAATTGTATTTTTATTCCATAAAAATTTTATAAAAATATTTATTGCAGTGAATTTAAAAAATATATATATTAAGTAAAGCTTAAAGAAGCAAAAGTGGAATGATTCAAGGTGCTTAGATATAAGTATGACCTGTTTTTACTTAAAATAGGACATAATTTGACATGGCATAGTTAAGAAAACTACTCTCATGCATAACTCTAATTCAACTTCTTACTACTAAATTTTTTTTTAAATATATACCCTTATAAATGAAGCATTTTGTTAATAGAGAAAAAGAGTTTTTTTGGCATAACTGAATATTTACCAAGATTGGCCCACAGCTGAATATGTGATGCATGTCTAGTAGCGAAATATAAAAACTTGTAATAATTTTTTCAATATTTTTCCAAAATTTCTTTATTTACTCTTTTTTTAATATATTTATGAACCTAATTTTACAATTCAATTTCAATAAAATGATTTAAAAGGGAATACAATCCTTAACAATCTGAAAATGTTTTTAAAAAACCCGACCCGGGTTTGCAAAAATTGTCTGGTTACTACTTTGGCGAGCCCTGAAACAATTATTAAAACAATTTTATCAGAACTTACATTATAATAAAATTGTTTTTTGTTATTTTTTTTATTATTGATTTTTTTAAAGAAAGTTAAATAATTAGCACTGTCACTGGTGGTATATATTTGTTCGATGATAAACAATCATACTATTTTTAAGGTCCTTAATTTTTTTTAAAAAAGTCCTTAAAAGTGTTTAATTTTTGCTTTGTTAAAAGAGTGGGAACCCTGTTAATGTCAAAATCAAAATCTTGGCTGATTTCAATGTGCTGTTGGATGTTGTCCGCCATTGCTTCTGTGGTTAACGTCACATTGTAATCCAACTGCAGTTGAGTTGGACGGCAATTGTAGTTCCAGATGAGCGTTCGATGATGTTTACTATTAAACTCACAAATAGACCAATCAGAGGTTAGCGCTGATTTCCAGCTGACGGCGTCCTGTCCTAAGAAACCAGGCCTTAAGACGTTTTAAGCAAAATTTACAGTTTATTTCACTTTATAAAATACTCGGTCGAACAATCTTTAAAAAATTTTTGCTTACAAATCGTTGACCTCTGGAGCTTTTTGAATACATTTTTTTCCTAATTTTTTCTTTTCCTAAACTCAACATTAATTCCTCATTTGAAATTTTTCTACTTATAATTTTTTTTGTATTTTGCTTTTAAGAAAATTTTGAAAAATAATGGGATTATAATGTCTCATGTAAGCATTTCTCATACTTATGTAAGCATACCCTTGTCAGCAAAAGTAAGCAAATCGCGCACCCCATCCTTCGCATTAGAAGCTTATGTAATATTTGAAGGAATTCTTATATGCTGTACTTTTATTTCATTTTTAGGACAAATTTATGTTCTTATCGCTCTAATAAATAATTACAGGTCTCAAAGTTGTCTTTAAATTCCTTTAAAAAAGTAAAGTGTCCTTAATTAAAAATTTCAGTAAATGTCTTGAAATTTGTGTATTTTCCAACTTTTTTTGAAGTTAGCAGCAAGAATAAATATTATTTATCTGAAAGAGAATTGAAGAAATTTCAAATTCTGAAATTCTGTTATACACCATGAAACAAAGTATATATAACAAAATGAATGCCTAAGTCTTCATAGCGTGTCATGTATGGTATTATTTTACTTCTATTGTTAGAGACAATTACCCTCTATTGATTTTAAGGAGAGAATTTTGTATTTTAGCTCGTATTTTTCAAGAGAGAATTCTCATTTTTTAAAAAAAAAGTTTATTTTTTTGCTTAAGTGCAGAACCTATTGAAACTATTACCAATTGCGTATCTGTAAATCCTGGAAATTGCTTTATTAGAGAATCAGCATCCTTAAATTTTGAGACAATTTAGTCCTTATTTTATGTATTGTTAATAATAGGTAATTAAAAATATCTCCTTCTGATAGTTCAATTGCCTCTTAAAAAAAGAGAATTTTCTAATAGTTAGTTTCTTTTTCCTACAACCTTTTTGGAAAAGAAGAAAAAGTAATGTAGCCTTAAAAGGCAGCAATAAATTTGTTTTTATCAAATTTTATAACCATCCTTGAACAGCTGTCCCAACTTTTTGGTTTTACAGCTAATGTTCAACTCTGTAGTCTTGTAATTTTGAACCCAATCCAGAAAACAATGAAACTCCTGGATCAAGTATTGGGAGAAAATTTGCCTTCTAGGACTTTTTGATGGAGCTAACCCACATTTACATGGCGAGGAAAACCATGAAAACCTCCTACGGTTGGCCTGGTTGTAAGGGTACTCTAAGCCATGATCGGTCTACCACTGAGAATGTTTTACGTCAGCCCTGTGGTTAGTTCAAGCTGGATGTGAAACTCAAATTGACCAGCCATTGCTGGGATTTGAACCTGGTTCACCTCTTTGAAGGGCTATCCCAGGTGCCACCATAGCTCCATCTAATTTCTGAAAAAAAGTGTCAATTTTTTTCTGGAATTACAAGAAACAGGGATAAATTTCTTCTGTTTTTTTCAATGTTATAAAAAGAAAATTTCTGCTTTTTCAAGGAAAGTACTGCATTTACAGATTCCCGAAAAAAAAATTTAATTTTTTGCACTTTTTCCTACTTATGAAAACATGATTTAAAATTACACACTGTAATCTGCATTCACAAGAATTTAAATTACAAATTATAATTTACAGTCGCATATTTTATAAATCTCATTTCAAGTTTGCATTCACGCAATTTAAAAAACACACACTGAGATTCATATTCATGCAATGTAAAAGAGAAAAAAAATTGATGAAAATTATGCTTTGATATTTTTTTTATTAAAATGTTGATAATTTATGGATATATGTTTCCTATATCTTCCTATATTTCTTCTTGCTAAAATTTAAGTAATTCTTTCAATTTTTTAAAATATATTTTGAACTTTTTGGATTTTAATTTTCAGCTCTTTTGTAGCTGATGAAAGTATTACAAATTATGAATATTCCCACAATGTGTATCATTTTTTAATTTAGCTTCAGATTCATAAACATGCATGGGATATACACTATTCATAAACATTCATGAAACTCGCTGATATAGGAAGTTCATCTTTTTTACTTTAAATGTTTCAAGGGTTTTGAGGGTTGGTGAGACAAATAATTATAAATCCAGGGTTGAAAAAAACAAATAGTTTTGCTTGGTATTTACTTACTTTTTTAAACCCTGGTTTAATAAATATTGATCTCAGACCATGCAGAATACGTAAAAACTTGTAACATTTAAAAAAAAGAATCAGTATTGCTTAGAAGCTCTGGACAGTTCCTTGACATATAAATTTTTTTTTGCAAATATGTCCTCTCTTTATTAAACAAAATTAAATGATGCTAAGATTTTAATATTTTTTTCTTACTGTAAAATTTGTACCTTTGTATTTTGGAATTTTGTTATTATAATTTCTAAGCATGATTTTATTTTATTTTTTTTTAAAGGAAAATTTAATTGAAAAGCTGTTATAAATTATTCTTATACGAATTATATAGTTTTTTCTGTTATTTTTCGCTGGAAGATGGATCGCTAGTTTACTGCATCACTAGTTTGATGTGAGACATTATAAAAATTTGTGCTACTAGTTTTTGAAGCAGTATTACAATTTTGCTCCTCTAGAGCAGTTATGACTCAGGGGATGGAGCATTCACCTTCCAATGAGCTGAACTGAGTTTGAATCCCAGCAATGGCTGGTCAAAACTAATTCCACATCTGTCTCGCACCAACCACAGTGCTGACTTGAAATATCCTCAGCGGTAGACGAGTCATGAATTAGAGTCCTCTTACCGTCAGGCTAACCGTGGGAGGTTCCTGTGGTCTTCCTCTCCATATAGTCCAAATGCAGGTTAGTTACATCAAAAAGTCTTCCATGAAGGCAAATTTTTTCCAATACTTGATCTAGGAGTTTCCTTGTCTTCTGGATTGGGTCCAAAATTACAAGGATACGTAGTTGTTCATTAGTAGTTGTAAACTCAAAAATTGGGTCGGCAGTTCAACCACGGTTATAAAATGAAATTTTACAGTTATAAAATAAAATTTTTCTCTTCTGCTTAGCTGGTGTGGATGAATCTGACTAATCCATCTGAACATAAAGTTGCGTGGGACATGTCAATGTGTGTCAGTAACACGGCTGGTGTGGAAGCAAAGCGACTAATGGCAAAAGCATTCAAAACTGCTCTCTCCCCCCCTCAGACACAGCAACTGGTATCGGAGCTAGAGGTGGATCCTAAACTTGTTTATCATGTAGGGCTAACTCCAGCAAAGGTAAGCATCTGGTAATAACATGATGCATAGCGTTTTTAAAAAGTGCTTAAAGGTGCTTAGTTTCGACTTTCGTTTTTTAAAAGCCCTTAAAAGTGCTTTTTTCATTAGGTGTTTTTAAAAATTGCTTAATTTTTTCCTTTCTGAAAATGAGATTTTTCTTTATCGTGTCAATTTTCGCTGTGTATTATGCAAAAGTGTGGTTTTCACAATTCATTCAAACACAATGCATTTCGGCCTATCATCGGTCCATAACGTATGAAAACGCCAATCATGTGACATGTTTGATGAAATACGCGCGAGTCTGCAATCGTGCCTACTGAGCTGGGTTCAGTGAGTTTCTTGCACTCTCATGTGCAACTCTGCTGCATTGTGCAAGATATTCTCGATTTCAAGCTTCATTTTCCACCCTCTGAAATCGAACCAAAAAATCTCTCAATTTTTTTATATCTTTTTAGCTCAATTTTCCCCTTTTGAAAATGAAATTGTTTTCTTCTTTTTTTTATAATTTTCACCACATATTATGCATTGTTCTATTCACCCAGAATCTATTTCAGCGTGCCGTTGCTCCATAGTGTATGAAAGCGTCAGTAGTGTGTGAAAGCGCTTTACCATGTCAATTTTTGTCACATACTAAGCGAAAGTGTGCTTTCCACGTTGTTCTATTCATTGTTTTCATAATTCATTCACCCACTATCTATTTTGGCATATGAAAGCGCCAATCATTTGACATGTTTGATGAAATGCTTGCGAGTCCTCATGTGCATCTACTGAGCTGGGTTCGGTGAGATTATTGCACTCTCATGTGCTGCATTTTGCAAGATATTCTTAATTTCAGGTTTCAATTTCCACCATCTGAGATCGAACTGAAAAATCTTTCGATCACTTTTTAAGGGCTAATATAATCGAGAAAAGAGTTCTTTGTCAGGAACTAGTTATTTTATCATGATTCTGTAAAGTTTTTGAAAATTATTTTTTGCGTTTTGTTAATGTATATAGTGCTTAAAAATATTTTTTGAGTGCTTAAAAAGTACTTATTTTTGGTTGATAGATTTGGCTATGCACCCTGTTTTAATTTTGCCTCATTTGTGCTATGAAAAGTTAGTAAAAAAAGTACAGAGATGCAGCTGATAGTTCGAGGTTATTTAAAATAAAGCATTATGCAAAAGATGCGACATATTTTAATTTTTAATGAAAAACTTGAATTTTCTTTCAAAATAACTTGTCAAGATTTATTAAATTAAAAAATTTATTGTGCTGATGCTTATATTTAACAATTTTTTAAACTTTTTCATAGTTTCCTGAGTTAGTTGAGATGAATCCTACAATAGCATTTGAAACGCTAATACGTTTGATGTCGTCCAATCAAATAACTGAGTATGATTTTATATTTATATCCTTTTTTTATTTAACTAACATTGATGTCTAAACTAAAAACAACCATTTATAGAAAGGTACCTGAAATTTGTCACTTCTGACACATTTTCTTTTTTTGTGATTTAATTAAAACTATTTACAATGTTTCATAGTCACTACCCTTTGTGCATTTTTTTTAGAATATTTGTCAAAAATAAAACAAGAAAAAGCTCTTATACAATAGGGGTCAAAAATTAATAATTAGGGAAGCAACGGAAACGTTAAAAAAATATGGTATAGATATGATTTGAGTGTATGTAATATGTCTGTATAATTATTATATATTTTTATAATTTATTAATACACTGGAAAGATGCTATGAATTGTGGAATTTTAATTGTCACTAAATTAATGCTTAAAATTAAATATCTATAAAATACTGTTCGTTGTTTATTATGTTCAATAAGTACATAGCAATTAATAAATGTAGTTTTACGTGCTTTAATTATTTTCAGAATTATAGATTTTGGAAATTTACCTTCGGATAGTAGATCCTATTTGTTCACCCTAAAACTCCTACCCTAGTCTCTTTGATTGCTTAATTAATTTTTTTTTCCAAATGCATTTCCTTTTATTTTTTTTGCAATCATATGTACTTTTCTTTGTTAACATCAAAATAAACCATCTTCAAAATCGACATTTTTGCACACAATTGTTTCAAACCAGTGTTTACCAATGTAAATTTGGCAAAAGTACTATGCAAGTTTCCCACAGTCCTTAAAAACTGCTTAATTTTTATTTTGAAAACTAAAGGCCCTTAAAAATACTTATTTTTGGTACAAGGTTTTTAAAAGTCCTTAATTTCTTGTTAAATTGAAAATTTTTTCTTTCACCTAGAACAGTGGTTACCAACTGGCGACCCGCGAACCAAAATATATTAGTTGTCATTTCTTTGCGGACAATTTTCATAGAAAATCTATATGAGTTTTAAATACTTTTAAATTTTATATCTTAACAATTTTATATCTGTTTCACATTAATTGTTTAATACATAGGTGCACATTAAAGTTATTGTAGCCAGAATTTTTTAACATGCAATTAAATATTTTTAAAAATCTACTTCTTATTTTTATTTGTAATTCAATACTTTTGTTTTGTACAACTTGATAAAAATCTGAAAATAATATTTAATGTTTCTTCAAACATAAAAGAGTTCTATATAAAATTTTGATAAAGTTGTGGCCCTGGTGTTTTTAATTGCGGCCCCCGGCCTCATGTAAGTTGGAAAACCCTGACCTAGAATGAGACCCTGGAATGAGGATAGAGCGTATTGAGAGACTAGAAAGAATATATGCGAGGGGGAGGATACAGAAGGCATGCCCTTGTTGTGGTAGTTTTATTAAAATATTCTTCTTTTTGCCTGTGTGAGAGATTTGAAAGAAAAGATTAGAGTGTGGGGCTGCATGTTGGAGAGATTATTTATTTATTATTTTTTTTAGTAAGTTCTGAGGTGGTCACATTGATTGTCACTATCGACAGAGTTCAAGAAATTAAATTCTACTAGTAGTGCTTATATAAAAGAAGTAACACAAAATCAAAGAAACAACTATCAAAGAAACAACTCAATCAAACAAACTCAATCAAAGAAACAACTATTTCTAAAAAAAATGAAGAATCAAATGTGTATGATATTTAAATGTGTTACAATTAACTAAGTTTTTTAAAAGCAGTTACTTTTTTTAAAATTCATAATTGTATTAAAATAAATAGTCCTGTAATAGATACAATTATATCAATGCTTGCAATGTTTGTTTTAAAGGTAAATAATTGGCACTGTCACTGTGGGATATATATTTTTGATAATAAATAATTATTATACTATTTTTTTAATGTCCTTAATTTTTTAGAGAAAACTCCATAATTTTTTCAATAAAAGTTCTTAGAACTCATTAATTTTTGCTTTGACAAAATAATGGGAGCCCTGAACTGGAATATTAAGAAGCTTGATGAAATTTTTTTGTTTATTTTGAACAAATTTTACTTCTAATAAAATTGTTGAATGTTAAAAATAATGTACTCCAAATTATTTATTATCACAGTTTTAAAATGTCTTATGTAAAATAACAAAAAATTTCTATCTCAAATTATTGCCCCTAATACCTATAAATGGTGCTCCAAATAGTTCCAAAAATTTAAAAATAGATATATATTTTTGATTGTTACGAAATGAATGCGAATCAAATAAGTAAAAGTATCTGCTGCAAAAAATCTGATTGTATCTCTCTTAATGTTTGAGCCTTTCGTAAGAAAAAAAGAACTGTTGTATTTTAAGTTTCAAAAAAACTGTGTTTCATTCAGAAACATACATGTTTTAGTAATCATTTCATAATATTTTTTCACAAAGCCTATTGTATTGTAATCTCTTACCATGCATCATTACAGATATTTAATATTATTGTTGAATATATATATATATATAAAAGTTCAAAATATAGAGAAAATCTGGAGAGAAAAAAAGATATCTCTTCATCAGCTCACACAATTATATCCACAAAAAGGAGTGCTTTCTAATATTGTATTAATGTAGCCAAAGTAAAACATATCAATTATTTTGTCTTGGCTATATTGATAAAATATTAGAAAGCACTCCTTTTTGCGTATATAATCGTGTGAGCTGATGAAGAGATTGATGAGATATCTTTTTTTTTTCCTGAATTTTTATTCGTTTTTTTTATGTTTTCTCTACATTTTGAACTTATTTTATGAGTTCTATATTTTTGCAGCTTATGCACAGTAAATAAAACTTAATGATTTTGTTCGTTTTTTTTTGTATTTATTTATTGTGCTATATATATAATCAGATAAAAAAATTTCTAACATAATTGCTAACATTTTTATGTATTTCCAGCTATTTCACAGTACTGGTCAATATGGAGTTATCTTTACATTCCATGGAAGTAGTGAATAGGTTAACCACAGTAAGAATTAATTTCTTTATTTTTCCTTTTCTACTCATACTATGCTTTTGTAAGCGTTATTGTTGTGATTCTTGTGCAAGGGCTGCTGAGATAATCAAAACACACTCACCCATAGCCAAGCACCTATCCCCAATTTTTAAGGCTTCATCTTTTAACAGCCATTATAGGAATGCCACGTAATTTTAACCCAGGTCAGACGAGCTGGACAATGCTGTGACTGGTACCTGTCTCTCCAAAATAACCAATGAGGGGGTTTTCAGGCTTAACAGATTTGACCTTGCTACGTATACATTTATTCAGATTCCATAGTTGAACCACCAGGAGAGCAAGTGATATATTTACTGGAGTATCCGACAGGAGGGATTGTATTCTGGGGGTACCCTGGAATTCTGGGTTTTTCGTATCTTTCTTACGGATACTCTTCCGAATTTCCTCTGGAAACTAGATGCAGGGCATGGTATTATTAGAATTCTGTGTATTTCAAGACCATCGAATGACCATGACTTCTGCGAATCAAAAACTTGTAATCCGACAAAATTTTGAAGCTTTTTCTAAATCGGAAAGCGTTTACATTACATTCTTTTAACAATTGCATGAACGACTACATCTTACATGATTCTTCTGCCAATTTGATTTGGTGGATTTTCGCCACTTTGAATACTCGGAACTGTGACAGAATCTGCTAATATTGTAATTCTTATTCGCGCGATTTCAATAACAAATATTGATTTATGTATTTACCTGATTTAAAAACTACACATTGCGATTCATGTTCATGCTATTTAAGAATCGCACATTGCGATTCCTATTCAAGCAATTTTAAAACCTAATATTGCGATTCATATTCACGTGTTTTTAAAATCCAATATTGCAATTCGTATTCCTGTGTTTGTTATATCAAACATCGACTTTCGCATTTATATGTCATTTAAATAATACAAATTGCGATTCATATCCATGTCATCTAAAAATTTTGCACAGTTATTAGTATTTACATGATTTAGAAATTCAACATCGCAATTTGTATTTTTGCGTTTTTAAAATCCGATATTTTTATTCATATTTATGCGATTTTTAAATCCAATATCGCGATTCTTGTAAGAAGTCCGTTTTTTCTTGAATTAATTACATTAAAGGTGTGATATTCTGCATTAGTAGGTAATTTAATTATAAATGTTGGTTTAAAAAATTATATGAAACATGCTTGTTTGTTTGTTGGCTATTAATTTTTTCCCATAACATTTTCAGGGCGTTTCATTTTGTGCCACAATTAGGGTTTTACATGATAATCAAAACATGTAATACAATAATTATAGTAAAAAGCTCTCACAATTTTAAAATTCTGTGCATCACTATTGTTAAAAATTATGTGTAGTTGTTTAATGCAACATTCTTACTTTTACATACTGTTATGAATTCCAATATGACTGAAATAATATTATTTTTTTCTCTTACAGTCAGTAGATCTTCCAACAGAATTCATCCATTTGTATATATCCAACTGCATCAGCACATGTGAAACAATTAAAGACAAATACTTACAAAACAGGCTGGTACGACTAGTGTGTGTATTTTTACAGTCACTAATCAGAAATAAAATTATCAATGTTCAAGTAAGTTTAATTTAATTTTTTTAATGCAATTTATTACTCTATTTGAATGATCTGTAAGTTAACATAATTTAAGTTAAGAAAACAGTACATAGATTAATTCCAGTAGAACAAAACCACCTCTCCACAGCTCTTGGAATTGCATTTTACCTTTATTTATTCTTCCCCTCAACCACTGTGGTGTTTCTTGTTTTATTTTTTTATCTTTTTTCTCTCTTGACTACTGTGGTTTTTCTAGTTTTGTTTCTCACCTTTATTTTTCCATTTTTTGTTGGCAACTTTACATATAATATTTCACATCATTTTTGTTTCTTATTCATGTCTGACTAATCTTGAAAATGGGTGCCTATTTTTAAGTGCTTGAAACAAAAATCTACTGTTATTTTCAATTTCTATATTTTTGAAGTGAATGAAGTTTTTAATCAAGTTAAAATAGTAATTATGCATTAAATTTTGAAGTTTTGAACTAACATAAAAGCAATTAGTAAATAAAAAGAAAGCCTTATGTAATCAGTTTTTTACCTAAAGTAATTGTGATATGAATTTGTTTTAATTCTTTATTAATATACTGCATTGAGTTCACAATATATTAGAGTTACCTACATTATTGATATTGCTTCTGAACATTTAACTCATGTTAAATTTCAAACACCATAAATAATCAAGGTTTTGTTATTCTTTGACTAATGTTTGAATCCATATAATTTTCCATTCTGTCTCATTGTCTGATATTGAAAAACAGCAACATACGAACCTTATATTTACCGATATTACATTGGAGTCATCTTCATCATAATTGGCCTGACAGCCCAATAGGGGCCAATGCCTACCTCTGAAGATTTCTCCATAACGACTTCCGATTTATCTTTGATCTACGATTCTTTTCACTAATTGCAAGAGAGCCACAATGACTCAGGGGATAGAGCTTTTGTCTTCCAATGAGGTGAACCAGGTTCGAATCCCAGCGATGGCTTGTTGATATGAATCTCGCATCCGGCTTGCATCGACTACAGTGCTTATGTGAAATATCTTTGGTGGTAGACGGATCATGGGTTAGAGTTCCTTTGCCATCAGGCTAACCGTTAGAGGTTTTCGTGTTCTTCCTCTCCATGTAACGCAATTCCATTTAAAAAGTCCTCCACGAAGACAAATTTTCCCAATACTTGATCCAGGAGTTTGACATTGGAGTACTAATTTCAAAAAGAAAAACCATAAACAAAAATGTTAAATTATTGAGTTTATTTGGGAGAATATATAATTGTCATAATTGCCAACTCTACTGGATTTTTTCTGTAGACTATTGGATTTTGTCAGTTTCACCTGGTCTACTGGGTTAGTAAAATTTCTCCTAGTTTTTTTACATTTTAGAAAATTCCCTAAAATTGAGTAATTTTTGCACAAATTATTGCTTGCTTGAATATTTAAATAAGTGTTACTAATACATAATGAAGTGAGCCTCATTTATAAAAATCAGTTAACAATCTTTGATGAATTAAATGTCTATATNATTCATTTGATTTGGTGAATTTTCGCCATTTTGAGTTCTTGGAGCTGTGACGGAATCTGCTAATATCGTAATTCTTATTCGAGCAATTTCAATAACAAATATTGATTTATGTGTTCACCTGATTTAAAAACTACACATTGCGATTCATGTTCATGCTATTTAAGAATCGCACATTGCAATTCCTATTCAAGCAATTTTAAATCGTAATATTGCGATTCATATTCACATATTTTTAAAATCCAGTATTGCAATTCGTATTTCTGTGTTTGTTATATCAAACACAGACTTTCGTATCTATACGTAATTTAAATAATTCATTTTGCGATTCTATTAGTATTACACGATTTAGAAATTCAACATTGCAATTTGTATTTTTGTGTTTTTAAAATCCAAAAATTTTATTTATATTTACGCGATTTTTAAATCCAATATAGCGATTCTTGTGAGAAGTCAGTTTTTTCTTGAATTAATTACATTAAAGGTGTGATATTCTGCATTAGTAAGTAATTTAATTATAAATGTTGGTTTAAAAAATATATGAAATATAAAACATGCATGTTATATAAATTTTTATTGATTTTTTCACATGAAATTTTCAAGGCGTTTCATTTTGTGCTACAATTAGGGTTTTACATGATAATCAAAGCATGTAATACATTAATTATAATAAAAAACTCACAATTTTAAAATTCTGTGCATCACTATTGTTAAAAATTATGTCTAGTTGTTTAATGCAATATTCTTACTTTTGCATACTGTTATGAATTCTAATATGACTAAAATGACATTATTTTTTCCCCTGCAGTCAGTAGATCTTCCAACAGAATTCATCCATTTGTATATATCCAACTGCATTAGCACATGTGAAACAATTAAAGACAAATACTTACAAAACAGGCTGGTGCGACTAGTGTGTGTATTTTTACAGTCATTAATCAGAAATAAAATCATCAATGTTCAAGTAAGTTTAATTAAATTCTTTTTTTTTATGCAATTTATTACTATATTTGAATGATCTGTAAGTTAACGTAAATTAAGTGAAGAAAACAGAACATAGATTATTCCAGTAGAACAAAACGACCTCTCCACGGCTCTTGGAATTGCATTTTACTTTGATTTATCCTTCCCCTCAACCATTGTGGTTTTTCTGGTTTTGTTTTTTATCTTTTTTCTCTCTTGACTACTGTGGTTTTTCTGGTTTTGTTTCTCACCTTTATTTTTCCATTTTTTGTTCACAACTTTACTTAAGCAACTTAATATTTCACATCATTTTTGTTTCTTCTCATTCATGTCTGGCTATTCTTGAAAATGGGTGTCTATTTTTAAGTGCTTCAAACAAAAATGTACTGTTATTTTCAATTTTCTTTTTATTTTTGAAGCGAGTACGTTTTTAATCAAGTTAAAATAGTAATTATGCTATAGATTTTGCAGTTTTGAATTAACAGAAAAGTAATTACTACAAGGATATTTATTTAAGCTTTAAAAAATATTTTTTTCTATACAAAAAGAATATATGAGAAAGTTTGATAAGAATACACAATTCTAGATAACCTACAGATCAATGAATATAATTTTCCTATTAACACAGATATTCAAGTTAGTCATATGATACCGAATAGAAGTTTTTTGACATCAGTTGGTTTCAATTATTAGGTTTACACCCTCTAACACCTATCCATTACTTGATAAGGAAACCTGGTTAATACCTACTTGAGAGTAAACCTCCTGCAATTTACAGGAGAAAAAAATGAGATAGCAATGCATACCTGTAAAGCACTAGGACTAATGGAGTTGATATATTAGCAATTAATCATTCATCAAGTGTCTGAATAAATGTTTCATTTACATGAGCACCTCAAAGACTATTTCTGTTCTCTTTTTTTACCCCAGCTGTGTTATACAGTCTTCAAATTGATAAGAAAACGAAAGAAATTTTCAGTGGGGAAGAAGCATTAAGAGTATTTAAGAAGTCATTTCAGCTTGTGGGGTCTCATAATCTGTGTCCCCCAGATGAAAAGATGCCACTGTGGGAATAATTAGTATCATTTTCTCTCCTTTCTTTGCAATGATAAGATAAGGTGACAGGAGAAAGAATGATTCTTTGGTAGTGAAATAGCTTAACAGTATTTTTAGTTATAGATAAGGCAAAATTTACATGCTTTAAAAATGGTGACAAGTTACATATTTTTTCCCCTTGGAATTTAAAGTAGAAATAGTTTTCTTTTCTTCCAATTTAGAAAAAATGGTGTCAGGTTTGAAGAGAAAATAAGGTTTCAGGGCAAAAATGAATGTCCGGTTACGGGAGTGTCCGTTTGTACACAATGGCTTATGCATAGAAGATTCACTGGTAATAAAAAATGTGTCAGTATTGAGAGGCGTCCGTTTTGTTGGAGTGCCCATAACATGAGGTTTCACTGTATATATAATTAGTATTTATTAAAAATATTTTTTTCATTGGAATTATCTTTTTATAAACAAGTTTAATAATTCTATGCAAAAAGTTTTATTTAAAATTCGCTTAACCTTATGTAACTAAACATTCATTTACCTCTACTAGTTTTGCAATTTCGAGATTTCCCTTTTGAGCTCACAGTACTGGTAAAATGAGGTGATAAACATGGCTATATGTTTGATATTTATTGAGATTTGCTGCACAAAATCATCGTCTAACAGTCAAATGTTTAGTTGCATCAAAATCATTGAAGACATTTAGAATATTGAAAAGCCCATAGAAAACACAGCTAAAAGTGGAGCAAACAAACAAAAGAATTTGTAGTCTATCTAAGAAACGCATAGAATGAAAACTACATATGACTGCAACTGTCTATTTGTGAAGAGCACACTTAAAATTTTCCAAAAGTGAAAATGATGATTCTTTCAATCTTTCTATTTTCTTATAGAAATATTAATTAACTTTCAAGTTATGCTAACTTGTTACTAAGAAATCGAAGAAATATAAAAATATACTTATTTTTAATTCATAGTCAAATGACTGTGATAATTGAATTCATGATGAAGGGAATTCATATAGCCGATGATTAGTCACAAATTAATACTGAATTAAGTTTAATTATCTATGATTAAAAAAGTTATAGAAAATATGGCAAAATTCTCAAAAAGTAAAATTGACATTAAGTGACTTAACTTTCTAACCCTGAAAGTTACTAAACTTTCAGGGGTCATATTTTCTAGATTGTGATTACCTTTCTTAGTTTGAGAATCAAACATCCAAAAAGAGTTGGTATATTTCATTTAATTAAAAAAAAATACATTTGATAATTTCTCTGATTTTATAACTAGCATATATAAGGTCAATCCTTTGAACTACTAAAATTGCATTTTAGTATGTGATAATCTGGATCATTAGATCAAAAGTTATTAGGTGTCTTTTTTTTAAATTCATACTCTGTAACACTTATCTCTCTTTTATTTTAGTTTTTCATTGTGCATCAAAGTTGTAAAAATAATTCACATTTCATTGTGTATTTTACAATCATGCTCTTCTATTTCAGGATTTATTCATTGAAGTTCAAGCATTTTGCATAGAATTCAGCCAAATACGTGAAGCAGCTGCACTATTCAGACTGCTGAAGCAAATTGATAACGGTGAACAAACATCTGGACAATCCATTCCTAATTCCCAGTCAAATATGGGAAAATAATTTATTTATATTTGCTTTGTTCTGTTGCATCTTTTTTTAAAAGAAAAACAATGAATTAGAAATAATAAAAATGTTTTGGTATATTTTTATTGTCAAAAGCAATATATTTTTACCCCCTTGTTAAAAATTTGTATTAGTCCTACTTTGGAATAAGCTGTTTTGGGGTAACTTTTTTGTTACACTACAAAAGCATGTTATTTATATTATTATTTTATAAACAAACGTAGTATTTATAAACAAAATTGGCAAACTATTTCAATTATGTTTTAATTATATGCCTATATATAACTTAATTAAAAGATAGTCTAAAATCATTTCTCATTGTTATTGGTACATTCTTATTGGTCAGATAAATCACAATGATTAAATTTTTGATAAATGAAGACGATATAGAAACCAACAGATTAAAATTAAAAGGTATTTTTTATCTACATAATATTTCTTTACCCCCTTTTCAATTTTTGTGTGTCTGTCCGTGGTGTCAAAATGCTGTGTCGAATGTCTTGTAACCTCTTTTAATTTGAACACAAAGCAGTCTTAACCTCATATCCTAAAAATGATTTTAATATTTAAATTAAGAAAGAAAGAGATTATTGAAAAATGAATCTTTTGCATTAGTTTAGTATTAGCTATTGTTACGAAATAAGCTGTAGACGATTCTTTTCGGAAGTTCTTTAATGTTTAATGATTTTTTACAAACTTGGTGATCAACAAGACTTGCATTTCAGGGCTGGCTCACCGAATTAATATTTTTAAAGTTATCTGAAATGGCATGCTTATTTTGTTTATAGTTATGCTTTTAAAACGTGTTTTTATGAAAATAAGTCATTTAAAATCAATGGCAATTGAAATAATGATGAAAAATAAGTTATGAACTATAAAGCAAAGTTAATAAAGAAATGGTGCCAATTCATAAGGGAAGCAGTAAAAAAAAAAGATCGCCATTCTGTTATTGATGTTAGCTTAATTTTGGTGTTGGTGGTGGTGTTGTTTTTGATACATAATAAATATACAGGTAAAGGTACTGTTGCAACAGATTTTGTTCAGTCTACTGAAAGAGATATGTACTGGACAAAATTAAATATTAATTGTGGTAAATTTTGAGTATCAGGACATGGTTTTGAAAAACAGCGTCATGCCTAACTCTACTGATTACATATAATCTTAATTTTTTTGAACTGAACTGAAGAAAGTATTTTGCTTAGGTTAATAACGTAAAGCCAATGGGAAAAATAAAATAAAAATTTAATATTTTAGCTGTCTTAAAGTTGTTGTAATATCTTATATTTGAGAATCTGATGTTGCACAACTCAAAAAATTGTGTCAGGGAACACTTTATTTCGAGTGTATCTTTACACCAAAAATGGTGGCAATTGGTTTACATCAAAGTGGAGTAGGGAATAATTTTTGTAACAAACTGGCCACTAGATGGCGCAGAAAAGTTTTTTTTTTCTTTTAGGTTGCTTTGTTTCCTGAAGAGTCGAGAGTGAAAAAAAGTGAATGATGGTTTTTTTGTTACTGTGCGCAACAAAGTTTCAATTTGCTTAAAAAGTTGTCGAGATATGGCGGAGTACGCAAAAAGTAAAATTAACATAAAGGGGTCCAAACTTTGAATCGCTCTTCTGACCAAACAATATTTACCAAATTGCGGCTAACCCCTATATTCTGGGGGTCAGAAATCCGAATCCGTTGAAAAAACCAAAAACCGTCAACGACCAGGGGGGGAAGCCTACTGGTATTAATTATAAACTAACTTCTCGCACTGCTACTAAATAATCTATTTGGTGAAAAATCATTGAATAAATTTTATAAAAATTTAAATTTGAATAAAAAATTTTTTTTAAAAATCATGTCTAAATATTCACGAGTGATATATTTTCAATCTATGCATTTAATGCTCTGAAACTCGACCCCCAACAATTCCCTCAGGGGTAGCCCAGCTTCTAAATATTCAGGAATCCCTATATTTTATAGCAGATTTTGATTTACCAGAAAAGAGTACCCCGATTTGACCTACAGCTTATTGCAATTTTATTCGTGGGTGGAGATATAATTACAACAGGAAATTAGATAATAGTTTTTTTCATTCTCTTAACAAAAAAATAGTTTAACCAAGTTTTATAGAGATTAAAATTTGAATAATAATTTAGAAGCCAAATTCGTGTCTAAAAATTCACGAGTGATGTATTTTCAATCTAAACAATTAATGTTCTTCAACTCGACCTCCAACTACTCCCTCAGGAGTATCCAAACTTCTAAATATTCAGGAATCCCTATATTTTATTGCAGATTTAGATTTTCCAGAAAAAAGTACCACGATTTGACCTACAGGTTGTTACATTTTGATTCCTGGGTGGGGATATAATTATAAAATGAAATAGAGTAAAAAATGTTTAATATGAAGATATCACAATAAATGCATGTTAGATTGGAAAAGAAAAATTTACTTGTTTGATATTTCTAAAAACCTCTTCCTCAAAATAGACCCCGGTCTACGATAGTTGGTCTAAACAGAGATGGCGAACCTGTGGCAAAGAATATAGAAAAGAGAAGAACTCCAGCTGTTCGAATACGTAACTAACGCGAAGAACTGCTCGGTTCGAAATGCTATACCAGAAAAACAACTTACAGGGTGAGCAACATACTCACATTTAACAGAGCATGCGCATAATGATATAATATAACCGTCGTTGAACAGCCGACCCAATTTTTGGGTTTACGAGTAAAACACGAGAAGACAAGGGAACTACTGGATTGAGTATTGGGAGAAATTTTGCCTTCGTGGAGGAGTTTTTTGATGGAACTAACCCACATTTACATTACACGGAGAAGACCGCGAGAACCTCTCACAGTTAATTTGACGGCAAGGGGACTCTAACCCACTATCCATTTACCACAGAGGATATTTCACGTCAGCACTGTCATCGGTGCAAGCCGGATGCGGAATTCGTATCGATCCTCCATCTCGGGGATTTAAGCCCGGTTCACCTCATTGGAAGGCGAACGCTTTATCCTTATACGCATGCTCTGAGCCATCGCGGCTAAGAGCATGTGTATAAGAATCAAAGTGACTGTCAGGAGGTACGTAACCTATGAACTGGGTGTTGGGCAACTCTAAATGTATGGTTGCATGGTTGGGTACGCTGCCTCCCACCGTTTCATTCTTTCTATGTCAAAATGTGTTAGCAGATTTAATCACTAAGGATGATATAAATGGGTTCTCAAGGGAATATCTTTATTAACAGTACAGTACCGTTTATCAATAATGTAAAAATATAGAACAAGCCAATAATGGATAAAAAGAGAAAACTTTCTTTTTCTCCCCCACCCCTGTAGTAGTTGGGAGGAGAGGAGGGTGCTTCTAAATGTTGATTTTTCTTCTATACACAGGAACCACACAGGGGGGACTGGTTTACATTATGCTTACGGAAGCTAGTTTTCTTCCCCTATGTATATTCTTTGCCTATGGCACGCAAGAAGTACACATTAAATTACTTCTTAATTCGCATGAAATATGACATTCGTTTTAGAAGAATGATATTTACCTGGACGTAAGAATTAGATTTATTCCGGCCCGCCCATAGTTGGACACTCGGAGGGAATGACCCGCCGCCGCCGTGACAGCCCTGTCGAGAGGACCGCGATCCGTCCACCAACTCATGTGCCCCGCCGACTAACCAGATCGATTAGGCCACATCCGTGTCATTTATTAAAAGAACCAAAACATTACAAATAAACAAAACATGACAACAACAAGGAAGAATAAAAGTTCCGAGAGGTCCGTCTTATATTGCTGTTTGCCGACAAGACCTCCCTTATAGTGAGCCAGAAATAAAAATTCACAAACCAGAGCAAATAATTTAAGAGTACAGATCAAAGTTGTTACCGAAAGGTCAATATTTGAGTAAATGTTCTGTACAAAGCCACGAGGTCCTTCCAATGATGCTAAGATGACCTCCTTATGAAAAGTTAGAGCATAACAAGACATACATATAAATGAGATATCAAATACAAAAATTGAACATTAAAAGGTAAGTATAAAGATTAGTGCCAATGGGAAAAGGCAGGCCCAGAAGGGACAATGTGTTAAGGTCGTGCATAATCAAGTCGTAACATGATAACATTAAAGTAATTAAAATTTACCAAAAGGTAGGTAGTTAAAATGATATGTACAAAGCTGCAACCAAGTTACACCAATACATNTAAATATTTAAAAAATATCTAAATTTATAAGAAATTTCCATTTTGAGGATGCTTTTTGAAAAAAAAATCCATGAATTATTATTGACTTGGGTTAACAGAGATAAATATTATCTTTTTGTACCTATATCTGATCAGAAAAGCACCATTTTAGTTGTTGAAGTATCATTAAACGCTACATAATTAAAGAAATGGTATAAATTTACATATTTTATAATTGTCTATGAAAAAGCCTTAGATGGAATCCCTTGAAATGATCACTTTCAAGTGGCCAATATTCAAGGAATTGAGAAATATTTTTCATTAAGAATTATTATAATTAATATCTTGGTACTAGTGTAAACCAAATAGAAAGTCCCTTTTTATATGAAGTGCTAGCAAATTACAAATAGGTATAAAAAAAAATTGTTCAAATCTGGTAAATAACAGGTTTTGGTACCGCTAAATGCTTGTTTCAATGAGCGGTACATAAAAGCAAAATCTAAGGTACAATGTAAAAATTCAGAGGCACAAACGATCCAAATGTGCCTCTGAAATCAGAGGTACATTGTGCCTTTCATTTTTAAAGGTACGTTGTGCCCTTAAAATTCAGAGGCACAAATGATTCAAATGTGCCTCTGAAATCAGAGGTACAGTTTTTAGAGTGTAGTTAAAATGATATGTACAAAGCTGCAACCAAGTTACACCAATACATATAATTAAGTAGAAGGTTGGTGAATGATTACAAAGGAAAGCCATTAAAATCAAACGAGTGAACCAACACGGTTCAAGCAAGTTTAAAACAATCAATCAAGACGAGGATGAAGATGAGTTTAAAAATAGACAGTGTATTGAAGACAGGACAGATAGTGGCAGAAGTAGTAGAATTGTTGA